TTTTTTTTTTTTTTTTTTTTTTTTTTTTTTAATTTACTTACAGATCACTGCTTCATTTCCTGTACCCATTATATCTCCGAGGATGAATACGATTTTCACACATACTTTCAAAGTAAACTTCATTTCTACCTGCCGTAAACGGCATTATTAGTAAGAAGCGACAATAAGACATCGTCTCATGAATCAGCATGACGCTACTCACCAACTTTATACAGGCCTTTCGGGGTCTCGGAATTAATATTCAACACTCAGCCTCGCCACCGTTGACCGGTAGAGGGGCTGAGGTAACCGCTCGCCTTTATATATTATTAATCAAATTAATATACCTAGTATTTGAATTATGTTAAGAGATAATCAAATTGTAGAATTGTAATACGTACGTCCTCTTCGCTTTTCAGTACTTACAGTAACGCGCATGTGAGAGCGAGAAGTACAACACGACATATGAGCGGACAATACTCGCAACAATATTGTACAATGGATCTGATTGGAATTGCTTTTTCCAGAGACTCTGGAAATAGAACTGTAGGTACATTGACATTAGTGAACTTGTATATTCGTCATTCTCGCGAGTATTTGCCAGAAATATTTCGTTTTTTTTTTTTTTTCTTAAAAATTTCTTTGCATAATTTTTTTTTAATTTCAAATTAATATCTTTAAATACTTCGTTTTATTTATTTATTTTTTTCTCTTGTATCTTGTAAAACTGTTTATAATATATTACCCTAATAAACCTAAGCGTAAAATATTAGAAGGGTGCTTGCTAACTGCGATAAGAGACGCCCTCCTATGCACCGAATGCTAGGCTGCGAGTCTCCTTTTATTAATGTCCCTGAACATGTAATACTTTCAAGCAAATTCTTTAACATAAACTAAATAAAATATAATTCTTTGTTCTTTTTTTTTTTAATCATCGAATGAAAAAAATTACAAATAAGAACTAAATGTAACAATTCCCTACTATGTGACATTACAAACACTTAATATACACGCTTTATATTGACTCGCATTTTCAATGGTAAGAAATTTTTAACCACAACGGTATTCACGTTTATTGCATTTGCTGAAATTAAAAAATAAGATAATTAAAAATTTTTTTTAAATAAGTTTTTAATAATTGCTTGAATAAATGTGAAATATATTTGAGCTGAAAATGCAGTTACTCATTTAAAACCATTTTTTAAAGAAAATTTGAAGCGAATATATAACATATAGAAAATAATTTGTAATGTCGCCTTACTACAAGTATTTTGGCGATTATAAAATCGAATAATAAAAAAGAAACTGAATTTTCAATTTTTTTAACAAACACCCTTTGGACCAATTCGCACAAGATGACAAAGAAATGCGCGAAGCAGTACTATAAAATACTATTATCTTGTTGATAAAAAATCATATTTTTACTATAAACATAAAATATTTGCTTCTATATTAACCGTATTTACATCATTCGAAATTTCCTACATGTATGTTTCATGATTGTATGGGACTATTTAAATAAATATAGTTTTTTAATATATTTCTAGGTTTCACGAAGAAAAGAAGTGAGATGGATTTGAAAAATATTGGGTTCTATATTTATAAAATATATTTTAGGAGACAATTAATATATTTAAATTAACTTCTTTATGCAGATACATATTTATGTACAAAATTTATTATTTATAATTTACTGTACCATGAAATTTTATTTCATAAACTAATGAAATTGATTTCAAAAATAATTTAAGATAAGTAATGATATAATATGAATAAATATTTTAAACCAAAAATTAAAATATTCTATATCTCATTTTCTTCTTTTAAAAAATTTAAAGGGCTATTTCTTGTTTATCATTATTTGCTGCCCCGTGTTGCACTTCAACGCCTATCTGGTGTGAATTGATCGGAATCAATTCTCCGAATATATCACACAAATTTCATCCTAGTATTTGTATATTGCAAAACTGAATTGTATTGTTTAATTATTTTGTATTTTATATAAAATCGATCAGACCAATTGGCACTGATGAAAAATAACATTATATTATGTATAATGTATTTTAAATTTTTTCCTTATACTATATAAAATTATAAAAATTGTTATACAAATATAAAAAAAAAAGAACTGTCAGTGTATATATATATTTAACATAATACATAAATAAATAAATATATATATATATATATATTTAAATAAATGTTATTAAACAAAAATACTTTATTCAAAAAAATTTCGCAACCAGACTTATTTTTGAATAATTTGATAAAAATTGTAATTCAATATAGTCAAATAATTTCATAGTTACACGATTCAAAATATAATATTATATAGATTAATATAGATAATATTACAAAATATATATATATTGATTTTTTAAAAAAATAAAAAGAACAATAAATGCATAAAAATAATAAAATAATTTTATTTTATTAAATTTATCAATATACAATCATCAAACCAATATATTTTTTTTATCTTTAAAAAATATAAAATATCATTTAAATATGATAAGATAAATTGAAAAAAATAAAAAAATGTTTAATAATATTAACTAATAGCACAATAAAAGATGATTATATGTATAATATGAAATATATATGTGTATAACTTTTCTTTCTATTTTATTTTATTTCTTTCTATTATATATATGCATGTACATATATACTTATACATTTAGTGCATAAAATATATAAAAATATAATATTTTATATATATAAATGTTAATATAAATTCATTGATAAGAATAATTATTTTTTCATTAAAGATTCTATAATAAAATATAGTATTTGTTTATTTATATAAAATTATACATTTTTTTAAAGATTCTTAATTTATGTTTATTTAGTGAAAAAATAAAATATGAAACTAAACTATACTAAATTATTATTACTAAAATTATTATAATAAAAATTATTTATACTTCATATATAATCAATGATATTATTTTTTTTTTCTACAATAAAAAGCTTGGATAAAACATATAATATCTAAAGCTATTATAAGTTATATATGTGCAAACCAAATAATATTAATGTAACAACTATTTCTAATTATTTTTGTTATATATCATTTTTATTTTATATAAGTATAAGAAAAAACCAAATATTTGTAAAATATTAAAACACAAATCATAATTTAATATTAAAATACTCATAGTTACAGATTGTTACAGATTTCATACATGTGATTTATGTTTATTTTTAATGAATTAATAAATATGTATCTTGGCAACATTGCTATTTTGCAACATAAAAAAGAAAAAAGAAGCAAATAAATTTACTAAAAAGAAAAAAAGCAATTGAATCGTGTAACCAGAATGAGCTGAAAAAATGTAATAGCAAAAAAATGAAACATGACATCACTAGGTATTGATGTCTGATTGCTTTTATATTAATATAAAGAAGTATTAAAAGGGAAATACAAAAATGCTCTACTGTAGTGCAAAAGTGCCAATGGTATGTCATCGATATTCAATATGTAATAACTGAAACAAACTCACTGTTGATGATAAGATTTCATGTGGACAGCATGCCAGCAAAAAGCTCTTGCAGACCTTTGGATCCGAGTACTTCACTTGAAATTTGTTATTTTCACCTAAAATTATGATATATTTATTAATAAAATAGATGAATATGTAAGTAATGATGAAAAGTGTAAGCCACCATCTTGTATTTTTGTATGAAAGATTTCAGATAACTGTAAATAATAAAGTTACAAAAAATAATCGTGTTTCTATATGAAATGATAATACATACCATTCCGTCCAGTTCCCATCAATTGGTCGAGCATAGCACGCATTTGATCGTGAGCAGTCATTTTTTGAGAGAGTGTAATATTTCAAATGCACTGTCAAAAATGGGGGTGAGCAATCAGCCACGCCGCTAGCTTTCGAGTTTCGAGTTATTGTCCAACTCGTATTTATCGATCAGAGAATCGTATACTACTAATCGTATGCGCGTGATTCGTACAGGTCGTTCTAGAAAATATATAAAACTTCCGTGCATATAACTTTGCGACCAATAATATTTTAGATTTTATACACATATTCAAAACCTGATTTTGATTGGTTATCATTTTATTAACAATCTCATAATTTAATAATTAAATTATTATATAATAAAGATTAATAATATATATATAATATAATATCCTTAATTTAATGCAAAGCTTTTAAAAATTATATATATCTTATTAATTTTTAAAATTTTTGTAAAATATACATTTGTATAACTTTAAGTTGGTAATGGATTAATCAAATTTTCCGTATTTCCTATAAAGAAAATATAGATAATAGTTCATATTCAAAAGTTAACAATTATACAAAAAATGTAAATTATAAAAAAATATTTTAAATATATTTTGATATTTAATTGCAAATAATATATGAAATATCGAATAAAAATATAAAAGATACAATTACATATCTATAATTAATGCAATAGTAATACATTTCACCTTTATCTTAATCATAATCTAGAGTTATTGTGAATCTAGGGAGTTTAATTAGCTATATATTCAGTACTCTAGTAACTCTATTGCGCGTGTGTAATACGCGCCGGGGGTGGTTAGTCGATGGTTCGGTCTACGAACGTGAAAAATTGTAATTTCAAGCAAGATCTGTTTAATATTATTTGAGTGATTTGTATCGAAAGAGGCGATATCGTATATTTTTTTGTTTTTATTGAAAATTTTCCGGAAAATAACGTTAAGATAAGACAAGCGTAGTAGAACCAATTACAGAACTGCAGCGTACAATACGCACGCGGTGTCTAAAAATGGCGAAAGTGTTTCGCGCGGTGACAGTATCGACTTTGTCAAACAATGGACAGTCAACAGCAAAATTTAATAAGCCGGTCACGCTTAATATCAATTATGATCCACAAGGTCTTAGCATTGAATTCCTTGCAGGTACTTATTTGTCAATAAATAATTAATTACAAATTATATTATTGTCGTTATGAAGTAGACAACATAACCATACTTAAATAAGCGTTTATAATCTTTCTTTAAATTAAAATTTAACAACAATTGTTAGTATATATGATTGTTGAAATTTTTTTAATTTGTTATACAAGAATATATAAAAAATAGAATACTATTAATATTGTATTGTTATATTTCTCGTTAACTATTTAGTTGAATATACAACGTTTACGATGTGATTATTCTCTTATATAAATATAATTTTCATTTATAATAAATATTAATAAATTTTAAATAATTTAATAATAAGTAAATCTTTGTTTAAACATTTGGAATTATTCTTTATATTTCGAGAAAGAAAATCCATAACGTATAATTGTTCGTTTATTGTTTTTAAATTTTTCTTTATAATTTTTACCAATTTATTAATATAACAATTTAATAATTTAATTTTATCATAAAAAAAATTTTATAATAAAAATATTTTAAATATAGAAAGAATATTTTAAATAATTTTAAGAAGATTTTAAAAATATTAATAATTCTAAATTATTTTATGAATATTAAAGATATTTTTTTATATCTTTTATTTTTCTCAATAGGAGACATAATCGGTAGAGATAAAACAACATTATTAGAATTCCCAGTAACTCCTAGTACAGAATGTTCTAGAGTTTCATCTAGAAGTTATGTATTCACATTTGATACAGATAGTTTACTTATAACATTTGCTAATGAAACAGGTGAGCTAATAAACAATTACATATTTAAATTGTGCTATTTAATCTAATTTTTTATATAATTAATAACATTTTTTTAGATTTTAGAAATTTTCATTCACAAATATTGAAACTAAAAAATGGCAAGGGTATTTCTGCATTTAATGAAAGGACGGAAGAATCTTCAGCTATGCAATATTTTCAATTTTATGGTTATCTATCCCAGCAACAAAATATGATGCAAGATTATATTAGAACTAGTACCTACCAGCGAGCAATTCTAGGAAATCTCTCTGACTTTAAAGATAAAGTTGTATTAGATGTAGGTGCAGGTTCTGGAATATTATCATTCTTTGCAGTTCAAGCTGGTGCAAAGAAAGTATATGCAGTGGAAGCAAGTAATATGGCAAATCATGCAGAACTATTAGTTGCTGCAAATAATTTATCAGATAAGATTATTGTTATAGCTGGTAAAATAGAAGAAATTGATTTACCAGAAAGAGTAGATTGCATAGTGAGTGAACCAATGGGTTATATGTTGTACAATGAAAGAATGCTTGAAACATATCTTCATGCTAAAAAGTGGTTAGTTCCAGGTAAATATTTTACAGTTTTTCTTTTTTTAATTTATTTACACCTGTTATAATAGCAACAGTTAAATAATTATTATACAGGTGGAAGAATGTTTCCCTCTCGAGGAGATCTTCACATCGCACCGTTTTCCGATGAAAATCTTTATATGGAGCAATTTAATAAAGCTAATTTTTGGTACCAAACATGTTTTCATGGTGTAGATCTTTCAGCAATGCGAAATAATGCGATGAAAGAATACTTTAGACAGCCAATTGTTGATACCTTTGATATAAGAATTTGTATGGCTAAATCTATCAGACATATTGTAGATTTTCAAACTGCTAATGAGACTGATTTACATAAAATAGGTGAAAATTTGTATATTGTATATGATTTTCATAAAATATATTATATATAAATAAGATATTTAATAACAAAAATATATTACTTCATTTTATCTATTCATTTTATCTATTTAGAAATCGATGTTGATTTTCATATATTGGAAAGTGGTACTTGTCATGGTCTTGCATTTTGGTTTGATGTTGCATTTATTGGATCAACACAACAGGTTTGGTTAAGTACAGCTCCAACAGAACCTCTTACCCATTGGTATCAAGTTCGTTGTCTTCTGGAAAATCCTTTGTTTTGTAAAAGTGGTCAGCTATTATCTGGAAAAGTTATTCTTATTGCGAATAAGAGGTGAAGTAAATTCTATAAGTAATAATAATTTAATTTATAAAATTTCAAAATTTTATTAATATAAAATATATATGTAATTTCATATAAAACAATGTTTTAGACAATCATACGATGTAACAATAGAATTAAAACTGGAAGGAACAAATATGGAAAGCAGTAGTAATACTTTGGATTTGAAAAATCCGTACTTTAGATACACAGGTGCAGCAGCGCAACCTCCACCTGGTTTAAATAATACCTCACCTAGCGAGTCTTATTGGACAACCTTAGATGCACAAGGTGCCAGACAAGCAGTAAATATGGTGAATGGAATGTCTGTGAATGGTTTAGGAGAAGTTTCTATGGACGCTACCGCGACAGTGAATCCCAGTAATTTACTTGCAATAGGTAAAAAATAGTTAAAAAAAATAACTTTTTATTTTAAGAATATAAAATAATTATTTTTTGTGTTAATTTAGGAGGCCAGCCAAATATTCATCCAGGTTCGATTTCAAGTACAGGTAGGGGTCGAGTAGGAGGTACAGCAACAAGTACACAAGCAGCACAATTAATAGGTGGTGGAATTACACCAAATATGTTTACATCTCCCGCTACGGTAAGTGTAAAAATGTCTTAATTAAATTATGAGCGAGCTAATCTTTATGGTACCAGAATGTACTAACATATATGCACCATATTCATATACAATATGTATAAATTTTTGCACCAAATTTAGCTCGCTAAATAATTAATAAAATTAAAGCAAAAGGATACTAAAGTGTACGCCTGCCTGCGTGTCTTTCGCGCTACAGCTTGGTGTTACTTTCCAGCAATCGCTGGTCCTTGGCAATACTTCACATTATCCAGTGAATCCCAGCTTGATGATTGGAGATTACGTGACACCTGGTAATGGCATATCATCTCAAACGTATCGACAATGATCAATGGTGAAATCATTTTGTACTGAATATTCCCATACGGCAAAACAATTAAGTGACCGCCATAGTACGAGCAGTAGCGAGGATATCAGCAACAATAATAAACAGAGCCGCAAGTTGGTGTTTAGTTCTCCAGCAAGTAAATTACGACTCTCATCTGCTGTTCGTATCTTAAATGCAGTTAATTTGGCCAATCTTAATACGAATATTGGTCACGTTAATGGCAATAGCAATAACAACTTCGCTTACTTTAATAAAGTTATTATTGGTTCTGGGTTTGGATTTGGATGGAGCGCTAGAAGAAATAAATCACAATGGGAAGCACGTTGGAGGAGAGTGCGAACCGTCCTCTCGTAGTTTTCATTGATTTTCGATTAGCCTTTATTCAATTGAAGTCCCTTGAAGATTTGATCTTCCAAATTGAGAAGTGCATGCTTGCCAAATGTACCCGAGAAAATAATATTTTTTAATGACAATACAGTTTACTAATGCGTAATATACGCAACAACTATTTTACGGAGTCCTGATACAATATCGTTTGTATATCAAAATCAGATTAACGAAAGCAACCGGAAGTAACTGCAGTTGCAATATTTTCTTCTTTTTGGTTCAATATATATCTTTTGAAAAGTTTCAAAGCTACAATGCATAGGCTTGATTGAACTTTGATCATAAGTAATTTTTACACAATATGTAGGTATACATAGCGTAATGACGTTCCGAATATTTCGAAAAGTGCAAAAAGCAATAATTCGTTAGAGATACGATATGGAGCACTCTGTGGCATTGCCTGTTATTGATATATTAGTTTTTTTAAAATAATTACATATAAAAACTACGTCCTTATAATTTTCATCTATTTAAAGCATAAAAAAAAAAAAATAAATTCTGTGAAAATTCCATATAGTTAATTAATTTCATTCAATTTCTGTACTATTATTTTTTATTTTTTAACAAATAATATTCTGTTAATTATTTATAACTTAGAAAAAAAAATTGTATATAATTAACTACGATCGACCGATAATATAATTTACATTAAAAATAAGCGAAAGAAGAATATATTCCAATAAAATGATGATAAATTATGTTGTGATTCATATCTAGCTGACTTACTGTATTGTATTATTGCAATGTACAGATATTAGAATAGCTTGTACAGGCACAATTTCAAATTTGTGACATTTATATTACATATCGGCCTTCGGTCAATAGGATTAATTCTATATTTTTAATGTACTTTTATTATAGTAGAATTCTACAGCCTACATATGTCTTATAGCAATTAATAATTTCATTGAGTAACTAAATTCCTTTTTTTTTTATTGAAAATGAAAAAAAATGGATTTTAATTAAATGACTATAATATTTTAATATTCATTTAATTTCTAAATTAAAAAAAAATGAAAGCAATTAAAGAATATGTAAAATATAATTTATTATTATGTATTCTTTTTTATTTTAAAAGATTTTTCAAATTCATATTTTTTTTATTTTGACAAATAATATAAATTGGACAAAATCCATTTGTTTCATATTTCAACTATAACAATTTTGTTACACGATGAAATAAAAATAAGAAAAAATTTTTTACAATCTCTAAGTAATAAATGACTTATTTAATTCTATGATAAATTAGAAATACAGGTAATCTTCTAATAATAGGTAGAAATTTGTAGAAATGAAGTAAATATGTCAATACTATTTTTTATATTTTTTTTTTACAATAATCTAAAATGTTTTGCTTTTTTTTTGTTAAAATTTAATAAAATATAATTTTTTCTTTTTTTTTTTCTTTTTTATAAAAACATAACAAAAACGTAAAAACTATTAAATCTCTTTTGTATTATTTTTTATTTTTATATTTTCCATTAAGTTTGACTCTACTTCTTTCTATAAAATACTTTGATCATTTTAAATTTTCCTATTATTAGAAGGTTATTTTTGTTTTTAATATAATTGTATATATGATATTTTTAATTTTTATAAGTTGATTTTATTCAGATCTCGGTAATAATGTTTAAGTCTTATTAGTTCCTAAGGAGTGCTCTTTATTTGTTATCTGCACAAAAAGTTGCTTTTTATTTTAAGATAGCTATCTTTTTATCTTTTGTACTTTAAAAAGTACTTTCAAGCTTAATGAACCGGTATTAGTTACACATTGCTCTCACAGAAAAGGAAATCACTTAGTTTAAGATTGTAACATTACAATTAAAATTTTAAAGTCTCAATATATAATATAAACGAATTTATTTTTTTATTTTTTATTATCATTATTATAAAGGATTTCCTTTATCCATGGGAGTGATGCTAATGTATAAATAACTTGCTAGTATTCTTTGATGTTTTTTTAAGGAGTGGTTATAGTTGTATGAAACATATAATTTTTTAGTGTATGTATTTAGTATTTGAGATAACATTGACTGCAGGCATTCCACAAGTGCTGATAACATTATAACAATTCGTTATTCTATATAAAACAAAAACATGTCTCTTCCAATCTCGTAATTTCACTCATCTCTTTTTCATTTTTTCTTTTAAGAAATTGAAAAACATTAAAAGCAATATTTAGAATCGAACGCGTACAAAAGTATAAGTTACCGTGTGTTTTAAGTTTCAATAGGAGAGACAAAAGATTGAATAAAAATAAGCATATACTTTTTTGATAGTTTTCTAGATATTGCTTTCAGTGTTAGCATGTGTACTTTTTAGTACATGCTCTATTTTCTCTCTTTCTTTCTCTCTCTCTTTGTCTTTCTCTCTCTCTCTCTCTCTCTCTCTCTCTCTCTCTCTCTCTCTCTCTCCCCCTCTTTTTATTCCGTTTTAGAAAATTTTTAAATGACTGAAAGATACAAAATATCTCAGGTAGCCAAGTGAGTTTGAAGAATACTGTTTTATATATTTTCTGCCATTTTTCAATTGTGCGCTCGAATTTCGAAAACTAATGATTACTATGTGAAACAGAAGGAATAAGTTCTTCCTTGTTAAAATGCATACTCTTCAAATTAAGCTTAGTAAAATGCTTTCATTGAGATAAGATATATTTGCAAGTAATATATATTAGTTTGTTAGCAGTGAAAAAGTTTGCGTGCTAAAAAGATTTATTATTATTCAATATGTCATTTCTGATATTCTACAATTTATAGTTTTCTTATAATCTGTGTGATACAAGAAAAGTTATTAGGAGATGTAGAAAGTATTAAGTATTAATTCATTTGCAACAGGATATAATTTAAACTTTATATATCTTAATTAAATAATTTTAAACTAATTAATTTATAAAGTATTAAATTCTATAGTATATAACTTTTGGTGACATTATAAAATTATATTTATTGAATTCTTCCTGTTGTTAATGAATTAAACAATTTTCCACTTTCTTTTAAATAGTCAAACATGAGTGATTTTTTTTAATTATGAATATTTTGTAACATGATTTCAATTCTTTTTTATACATTAAAATTTTCTAAAATAATTGAAACAATCTTATTTCAATATTGTTATGAAGTATTTATTTATCATTAATTGAATTTTTTATCCATTACAAATATATAAATTTTTGTGTTTAAAATTATTTATTAACAACTATGATTCTACACATCATTTAAAAAATATCAAAATTTTTATTTGGATTTTATGGAACTTTTAAATTTATAAAAAAAATATTTAATTATATATAACAATTTTATAGGTCTGTTTAGAATTTACTGTAATTTGATAAAAATAAATATTTGTAATATACTTGTAATAAGCTCAAAAATGTTATAATTTTGTTTCTCAAGCAATTGTGTCACTTATATATTATGTATAATTTGTATCATGCTTTATTTGTTTTAGACTGATTAAGAAAATGAAAATAGAAGTAAAAAGTGATTAATAAGTATACTCTTCACTTAAAAAAATTAGATACTAGAATTTAAATAAAGAAAATGCTCAGCTTTGTATAATGCATACATACAAAACTTATAAATTTGTATATGCATTAACATTCGTGATATATACAGTTTGCCTATGTCTTTTTTATGTATAATATATCTATATGTATAAAAGAATCATGTTTTACAGTATGATAGTTACAAAATATCTATCTTACACATAATTGTGTATTGTACTTCAACAAATTTCGATTATTTTACATTCAATATATTAAAAATTTATCCTGTAATTATTCTCAGGTAAAAAATGTCATAAAGTTCGATACTTACAGTGTGAAACGATTTACATTTGGATGATCAGGAAACCATTAAATAGAATAGAATCAAATTGAACATTAATGTGTTATACTAATATATTATAGTCTTTATAAGCTCCATTTAATAATACATCGAGGAAGAATTGTACACGGTCATTCAAGAATTAAAGGATTCATATTAAAAAAAGGAATGAACAAAATTCGATTTAATCTATTTACACTGATATGTTTAATAACAAATTATTAGAATGAATTATATTTGCTTCTATTTTAATTTGAAAATTTAATAATAGTTTTAAATTTCGTAAAATTAATAAAAATTAATAAAAATTTTGTTGTGAATTTATATATATATAATATATATATACAAAATTTTTAATTTCTAATTTTGGATTTCAAATATTTATAAGAATTGGTATATTCATAAATTGTTTCCTAATTCCTGTACAACATATCCTTAAAAAAAAGTATAAAATATTAAATATTTGTTTTTGTTTAATGTATTCATTTTTTTAAAGATTTTAATTAAATAAAATAGAAAATAAGCACAATATTTAAATAAGAAGCGTAACATATTAGAACAACCTAATATTTGCAATTCACTTATTTGTATAATATTAATATTTGTATTCTACCAATATTTCTACAGATAAAAGGAAAAAAAATTGCTCAGATTATTTTATTCAATCTGAAATTAAGTTCGAATAAACTTATTTACTTCATATTATTGTGAAATTCATTTATCAAACATACAACAATATAAAAATTATTTTTTTAAACTTAATATTTTTAAAATTACTTAATAGATAATGGATTTTTTATTTATGTTCCCGTTCCCTCTTTAAATTATAATTTTTATAAATCGATATATCGACTGATTTTAAAATATTGATTTAGCGTTAACTTCAGAGTGTTTCAAAATGTTTTAGTAATTACTAATATCACAAAAAGTATAAGGCATTCTAAATGAATGTGTTAAATTATAAAATTAAATTAATTATTAAACTATGATTCTTGAAACTTTTGACAGATATATATGACATTGAAATGATCGTTATAATATTTTATATCTTTGATTGAGTGCGAATTATTTTGTATAATTATAAATTTTTATTTTTTCTAAATCTATAAATCTTTATTTTTTTTTTATTTCATCAAAGAAATGATGAATGAATCTATGATTAAACTTATTCAATATTCACAAAAAATATTAATAGTAATAATTTGTTCAAGTATAGTAATATTATTTATTTATTTAAATCATGTACAACCTTACTATTTTATCGATGAGGTTTTTCATGTATCTCAGACTTTGCAATATTGTAGTAATAATTTTACACAGGTACGTTTTGATTATTTTTTACTTTTTGTAAAATAAAATATTATTATTGAATATTATATATTATATAATGTTATTAAATATTGTCTATGAGTATTCAAAAAATAAAATTATTTTAATTGAACATAAATCATTTTACAACTTGACAACTTAAAGACAAGTTATAAATTTTCTTTTATTTATATATATATCATTTGAAGTTCTTTTATATCATTAAATTATTTATTAAATATTAATAATTCTCACAAAAAACAATAATGAAAAATTATATTTGAATATATTTAGAGAATGTTATTTTCAGTGGAATCCTAAAATTACCACTTTGCCTGGTTTATATTTAATTGCAACTCTAATTTTATCACCTTTGAAACTCTGTAATATCTTTTACATGAGATGTATAAACTTGTTTGGAACATTTCTAAATCTCTATCTTGCTCAAAATATAATTAAAAAAATTTCAATAATTTATTGGAAACAAAGATGGAATGATTGGATGAAACTTATTGTGGCTTGTAATATTATGTTCTTTCCACCCTTATTTTTCTGGCATTTTTTATATTATACAGATGTTACATCAGTTAATGCAATATTATTGATGTTATTGTTACATTTATATAAACAATTTAAAACTGCAGCTTTTATAGGTATGTATAAAAAGAAATTGTAGAATATTACAAGAATATTAAATTTCAAAAATAGCAATTTTAATTATAATATACAGGATTTTTGTCTATATTAATTCGACAAACAAATATTATTTGGGTTGCATTTATTACTGTGGAATATTTATTTGATTTATTAGATCATAAAATAAATAAATTAATTTCATATGAGCAGTATAATTCAATAATTTATTTAAAAGTGAGTAAATTATTATTACAAAAAAAAAAAATAAGAATATTTATCATATTTGAAATTTATATTATTGTGTAATTTTTAGCTATTATGGAAAAGAATAATAGAAGAAACATATCATGAATGGAAGTTACTTGCAAAATTTATTCTACAATTGTGTGTACAATTGCTTCCATACATTATAGTATGTTTATTATTTGTTTCTTTTGTTCTATGGAACAAAGGAATTGTAGTTGGTGATAGAACAGCTCATATTCCTACTTTTCATATTCCTCAATTGTTATATTTTTCTATTTTTCTATTTTGTTTTTTATGGCCATACATGATTATTTCCTGGAAAAATTATTTTAAGTTTATTAGTAAACATTGGGTATTTGCAAGTTGTATTATTATTTTTTTAATTATAATTGTTCATTTTAATACTTTTGTTCATCCATATATGTTAGCTGATAATAGACATTATGTATTTTACTTTTGGAATAAGTATATGGGAAAATACAAACAATTTAAATATTTTTTGGTACCATTATACTCATTCACTTTGTATACAATGTTTCATGGGCTTAAACATTTAAGATTTATAACACAAATTAATTATATTCTTATGGTTTCTATAGTACTCATTCCACAATTATTAATAGAACCAAGATATTTTATCATTCCATATATACTTTACCGTTGTTTTATTAAAAAACCAAAAACATGGCAAATTATTGCAGAATCAATAACTACATTAATAATAAATTTTTTACAATTTTACATTTTTATCAATAAAGTTTTTTATTGGAATGATCAGCCTTATCCTCAAAGAATTTCTTGGTAAATTAAGGAATGATAAATATATTCAATTGTAAACATATTATTTATTTAATAAAATTTTAAAATATTTAAAATTTGCATTTTTATTTTCTTTCATTTATTTTTATTTTAGAATATTCATAAAATATATAATATTATATAGAAATATATATATATATATATACACATATATACGTAATATATATGCATATATAAAATAAAAATGATAACAATAAATTTTATAAATATTAAAATACTAGTCATCATTTTATCGTAAATACTTCGTTTTTAAATATTTTATTATAGATTCGTAGTATTAGTAACTAAATACTTTTATAACATTTCAATTTTTAACAATAATATAAAGATTTGAGATTCATAGTACAAAACTTTACCTTATACCTTATAGTAATATATGCAAATTTTTATAAATTTTTTTATGTAATTAAAGTTGTAATTAAAAGTTTTTATGTAAATTATAATATTTCAATATATTTCATTCATTTATATCAACACATTAAGCAATGAAGAATATATAAACAAATATATAAATTGTAAAATATTTGAAAAGGTTATTAAATGGAACCAAATATAACTTCTGTTAATAGTTTTAAGAAATGAGTGCTAGAAGACATTTCTTGTAATGACCAGAACAATCACCCTGTAAAAATATGATCATTAGATTTGATTTTTTATTTTCTTATATTATATTATTTATCTATTATATTATCTACTAAATATACTAACGGAAATAAAATCTTCCAGCGATTCATTATATCGCTGTCTAAATATTTCTTTGATTTCTCCCATGTCTATTTCACAACGAGTAACAACCAATCTGATTAAACGATCATCATCTGTACCAAGACCCTTCATGCTTTTATACAATTGTTCAGCAAAAAAACCTGCTCTATCTTTAACGCATTCCACTATAAATTAATTTTGCATTAATATATAATTTTAAAAATATATATGTAAAACAATATAATATTTATTTACCAATTGCTAAAAGACCTTTCTTAATATCACCCGAAAACTCGTTTTTGATTGCAGTTTCAATGCTGTTACCAGTAATATTTTCATATTCTTCAAATATTTGTTTCAGTTGTGGAACATTTCTTTGAACAAGTATTGAGTTAAATACTGATTCATCAGTTCCAAAACGAAGTTCACCTAAAATGAAAAATCAAAGTAATAATTTTAAAGATTTTGAAAATATGAAATATATCATGAAACATTTATATTATTACAGAAATTACCAGCTCTGAGAAGCTCTTTTGCATCTTCTATAGCAGATGCAGGATTCACATCGAATGATTCATCTCTATTAGCACAACATAATGATACCATTAATCGCTTGAAATTTCCAGAAGTATCATCTCTTAAATCATCCTCTAATGTTTTTCCATACACTAAATGAAAAAAAATATTGAAAATTTTTAATAAAAAATTTGTAATATTACATAACATTATCACAAATAAAACTTACTTGCTTCATAAGCTTGTTTAATTACACAAATCTCATGATTAGACATAGTACACAATACTTCGATAAGAACGCATTCGTCGGTACCAATACCTGCCATTGCATCATGCAATTCTTTAGCATAAAATTGCGGTAATGGCATCATCATAGCAAGAATTAATTTTTCGAAATTGCCCGATAATTCGGACTTTAAATCTTTTATAAGATCCTATTTTATTATTAAAAAAAATTTTAATTAATTTTTAATAATTGTTTTTCTATATTATATATTAAATTTTAATTTTTTACCTTCCCATATAAAGTCTTAAATTGAACAGCAATTTCTTGGCGTTGTAGATTACTACGATTGGCAAGTACATTAATAATAGCCTTTTCATCTGTACCAAAACCTTTCATTGCTTTCCTTAAAATTTCTGCATCTGCTCTGGCATCAAAATCATTATATGATATGACTGTAGGAGATAACTGTAACCCAAAAAACAAATCATATACAATATTTTTAATAAGGAAGTATTAAGTAAAATACATTTAGTATCTAAAGAATGTAGCCTTCTATATATATCTTCATTTAATCTCACCTTAGGCGCAAACTGATTTCTCCGGGGGGCTGGGGCTGGATGAGCTTGATAAGATCTATCCTTGTGTGGAGAATAGAATCCTGCACCCTGCCCCCCAGGATAGCTTCCGCTTTGATAGGAACTTGAATTATTTGAATAAACATTAGGACCAAAGGTATAAGGAGAAGATGTATTAAAATATTCTTTTGAGTCTGATATAGTCTGAAGATTTGGATAATTATAATTTTGCTGTTGTGGATATATTGTAAATTGATTTAAATATGATTGCTGCATTTGCTGAGGATAAGAAGAAGTCGACTTTTGCATAAGTAAAGGCATTTGTTGAGAAGTTTCTGGAGTTGGAGGAGGATATTGAGGATATTGATTAGGTATAGGATGACAAGGTTGTGTTGGATAAGGAGTTAAGACTTGAGAAGAATAAGGCTGTGGCATTCCAAAAGATACAGGAGGAATATTTGTAAAGCCTATGTTGTCACTTTGAGAATAAGGCGCAGCACCGGGGGCAGAGGGTGTGCCAGGTGGAGCCCCAAATGATGTTGGTGGTTTTACATTTCCAGGAATCACTGGTGGTGGTGGTCCCTTTGATAGTCAGAGTACAAATAGAAAATGTTACAATCAGATTTTCATATATACTCTGGAAAAAAGGCAGTTGGAAAAAAGGAAATAGAAATAAATAGAAGGAATGCAGGTCTTAGTTATTTCAAATAAAAAAGAATTTTGAATAAAATTGCATTAAAAATGCATATTACATTGCATATAAGATTACTGCATATTGAGAAAAATAATATCTACCCATGAGACCCATTTTCATATTTTTTCATTGAAAATATCTCATTTATAAATATTTCAATTTGTTACGAAATATAAAAATGTATAATATTACAAAAAAAAAAATTTATAATAAAAAAGAGAAAGTATACTTACTTGATAACCATAACTCATTTTGCTTGGTTCGCTGTAAAACAATCACTGGATACAAAAATCTATAATTAAAAAATAATTTTAATTAAATGTAATTAAAATAAAAAAAATAATGTCTCATAATCATTCTGACAAACCTAAGAATTTAATGAAAAAAAAAAAACAAACTTAACGATGTTCAACGAAAGCACTTGCTACGAACAATGGCAAAGAAACCGTTTTGATGTAACTATTGCAACTCTATATAAAGTTATTTACGCTACAAGAAGATTTTAAAGCTTACCTAAACTTTCGTAGAATCGTATCCTATAGATATTGACAATTTTATTTATATGGTATATACGATACTTGAACTAAAAGTGTATTTTCTATAAATGACAGTTTAAAAGAAATTGCTTAACGGAAGTTATAAAAAAATAATTTTTTACAATATAGTGACGTCACATTGACAAGTTGACGTAAGCACAGTGAATTAGTGAAATATCGAATCAAAGGAAACATGTAATTCAAACGCGATAATACTAAAATAAAATTTAAAATATTTATATATATATATAATAAATGAAATTAAACTTCTCTATATCATTTTTTAATATAGAGATATATCTATTCTTCTCTCTAATATGTTCTTCTTCTAAGAAATTTTTTTTTCTAGTTTTAATACTTTTGTAAATTTTTTATTTCGAAACATTCATATACAATTTTATTTATGATATTTCTCAAATTAGTATTTTTAAGTAATAAATTGTCGCTTTATTTCTTTTTTTTTTCTAAATTGTTGATGGATATTTTATGTCCAGTTAGTTAAACAAGTTAAACAAGAGAAACAAATTAAACAAGAAATTAAATAATGAATTTAGTATTAATGGCGCTATCTCACGGACAGACTAGAAGCTATAATTTAATAGGAACACAGAATATACGAATATTATATATTCGTGATGTCATAGATAAAAAGAATAACATTATAGAAAAAGAATAAAAAATTGATTGAGTACTATCTCTTGAATATTAAAAACGTTTTTCTCAAAAGTATTCAAAAGATGATGCTGATTCTTAAATCTTATCTTACTTTATCCCGTTTTTAAAAAGATATCTTTAACAGTTAAAAGATAGCGTTATTTGTCAATTCTTATTCTATTTCTATCTTTGTCTTCTTTATATTATTTTCTGTCTCTTTTTTATGTGTTTCATTTGTGACATTCTGAAGATGGCACTGATTTCAATTTTTTTACGCTATCTTTATTCTTTTCGTATAATATTGCTCTCTTTATCTATATTAATTTTATTTATTTTAAAGATAGCGTTGATTCTCCAATTTTTACTTTGTTCACTATTTGCGTTCCTTCTCTATGTTTTGGCGCATGATCACAAATGAATAGGATATCAATGGAAAACACTTTCATTATTTCTCTTTCAAAATTGTAATGCATCTTAATCTTTAATGTAAAAAATATAGATATTACATTCTCGGCTTTACAATATATCTCTTGTCAAATATTGCAAAACATAATATATTCTGATATAATGTCGTGAAATATAAAAAATTTTTTAAGCATTTTACCGAAAAACGATGTTATAGAAGATTTCTTATTGAATTTATTCTTTCTCTATTTATAATTATGATAATACATTTTGCTCATAAGTTAAACGAGAAAGTAAATAGAAAAGTTTAATATTATTGGCAACATTTTGCAGATGCTAAAGCTCCGACTTGATAATAGATATATAATATATAGTATGAGGTATTCATAATGACATAAAAAGCAGCATTGTGCGAGAATATTTCCTATTATATTGAAAATGCAATATTAATCAATTAAGCTTTAAAATTTCTGCATTTTTAAACTCGCAACTAGAATTTCAAATAATTTTCTTGTATAAATCTATAAAATTTGATAAAAAATTCTTGCCTATATTACGTTATCTTGTGAATTTGATAAAAATCTCATGTTTCATTTTTTTTTTCAATTATATTTTCACGATACAAAATTGTAAATTCAGACAAAAATTTTTATTGTCAGAAATTTCGATTTTATATTAAGAAAATATAACTCAAGAAGTAATAGAGACTTAAAATTTTTTTATTTTCAAGAATAAAAATTTTTTAGGAGTGTATTTATAATCAGTCTACACATATATTAAGAACACGGATTTTTAATTAAATTGTTTTCCGTGCATTTTTATATATATTCAAAATCATGATCTCTAATTTAAAGCTGTTTTTTTTATTTTACTATGATTAAATGTTTCATTTATTTTTTATGATTGTTAAAGTTATTAATACTGACGCAAAGACATAATTGGTACGAAGCCAACATTTTCTAACAACAAGTTTATTGCTTTCACGATATTTCAGTTTAATTAGAATACGGGCAAATTGCAGAAAACTGCAAACTTAATTTATACACGTTGTGCCCATCAACATTTTTACAAAATTATGTATACGCATCGACAAATTCTTACTAATATAAAAGTATTTGTAATTAATTTTGTAAGAATCATCCATATCGATATATTTAAACAAATTAGAAAATAAATTTGTTAATCTTATAAATTGTAAAAAAAAAATAACTATAATTATATTCGTTCAACATGCCATTCTTTATAATTTTAATCTTTATTTTGCTATTGCTGGACTAAATAATAATATTCTGGATGCGTGCAAAATTTAAACATAAATTTTAAATTTTTTTTGAATAATAAAAGCAAAGAAATTTGAAAAAGATTATTTGATAATTAAAAAATTTGTTTCAGATATTCTTTTCTATATTCATTTATATTATTTTGATGAATTAATATTGAGATGCAACTTCAAAAGATCTGTTTTTCTTAAAATAAATATATTTAAAAGTCATATAAATTAATATTTATTCATAAGATTTTGTTATAGATCTTTTGAAATGCTTTGTTGTATTTCATTTTTTTTTCCTATCTACGCATGCATTGGATATGATATCAAATTTGATGATTGAAATCTTTTTTATTGCAGATTGCGATAATCTTAATTTTATGATATTATTTATGATCTATTAAAAACCAGTGCACATAATATTTTGTCATCGCCTTTTTTCTTTTTTTTTTTTGTTCACTTAATATTATATATTATGCACATATAATCAATTTTTTTAAAAATAACAGAAAGTAATATGAAATAATAATATTAAAGAAACAATGGGTCTAATTAAAAATAGATCAAATTATAAAAACAAAATAATAAAATAATTTCCTACTCGCTATTTCGCATGATAAATTCATACATGTTGTTGTTTGATAGAAATATAATTTAAAACGATACTTATATAAGAATAAGTACAAAAGATAATTTGTATTCACTTTGTTACATTAAAAACTTAATGAATATTCGATGTATGATTTTAAAGAAGCAGTTGATTCATTAATCAGATACAAAATAAATACGTAGTTGCGAAGCTAGAACAAATGGAAAACAACTAACTTATAAAATAAAACGGAAGAAGTTGCAAAAATAACGTAAGAAGTTATACTGAGCAATAAAATTTTTTCTCTAATATAAATTTTTTTTTCTTATCATAATATTATCGCATCGAATAACTTTCAATTGAATCACTTTTCTCGCGCTAATTGGTCTTCATTTTATTAAATAATTATTGTAACAACTAAAATTTTAATATTAATTAAATATATTATATGTAAAATATCACTATATTATATAGAAGCATACTTTCATAACAAGATTAGATCAATTTCAATTTTTTTTGCACGTTAATTTTTTTAAAAAAATTTAAACTATAAAAAAAATTCATATTTTTTTTTCCAAATTCAATTGCTCAAGATTAATAACAAGCTTAATAAAAAAACAAAAACAACATTATAAAGATCATTTATCTACAACATTTCCTATGGAGATCTTAACAACTAACTAAACAAATTATAGCTTCTCTTATTTTTTCTAAGATTAACAATAAAAAAATTAGAAAAAAAAGAAGATCATTACTACGCCAATCGTACTTCACAATACTTCAGGCACTGAATCACTTTGTTTCGTACTTATTAATCGTTAAAATTAGATCGAACTCGAAAATGCAGTCGCTATCGACTTAACATCATACTATTTGTTGTTTTAATTTAACTAGGTTCGTTTCACCGTACAGTTTCATATCAAGAGGTGCACTTGGTTCGTTTTTTTTTGTCTGCGTATGCCAAGCGAGTACCTTGGTGCAATTATCGGCCAAGAATTCAATTTCTTTCGGTTCAAACGGTGCCAAACTTTTCAAAAATCCATCTTCCTCATATCCAGCTTTGAATGGCATCGAGGCATTTGGCCTTTGAAGCAGGAACTTCACGTTTACAGCAAAGCCTGCCATATCGACTGGGAATTTCCGACCGGCAATCCATCCATCGTAAAATCCGACGAATTTTTCGTTCTTAATAATGGGCGAACTTAAACCAAATTTGGTGCATAAACCGACAGGAAACATGGAGACTCGTTTTGTTTTACGTATCTAAAATATATAATTTTACTGTTTAATTATTTAAGTATAGTCACGATTAAATAACGTTATCTAAAGTAAATGATATAATTTTATGTTAAGTTTTTATATAAAAGCAAAAAAATCTCAGGTAATTTAAATATGTTTCGCTTTTTTTTTTTTACTATACATAAAATTATATCAAAATTATATATTTCTCATAGCCTTTATAATTTAAAGAATTTTATCCATATTATTATGTAATAAGAATATATTTGCAAAAATAATACTTCGTCGAAGAGTGCTATATCATAGGTATTGTCATCATCGGCGAAATAGAAGACGCCATTAGTTGCATTTGCCCTGATCCATTGTAAGCCACGATTCCGATTAGACACGCCTCGTGGTTTGGCACCCTTTTTCTGCTTGTACTTTTCAGGCATTGGAGCTGGAAAGAAAAAACACAGTATTTAAAAAAGTATTTAAAAAAAAATATTTAAAGTCGAACATTATAATACAATTCAATATACATAAATATACATTAACGATATATATCAATTTGCATAAATGTCAATATGATTCTACGTTTGTAAAAGCACGGTGAACATGCTGAGTATTACAATATTAAACATGAACTAACTAACAAAATCAATATGAAGCTTTTTCATCAAGATCTTTGCGGTTGTTTCAATTAATTTTCTGGTAATATGGTTATTGATCAACGAAATTAATTTTCATCGAAACTATTTATACATATCGATTCAGCAGTGTTTAAGATTTCGAAATTGCTTTCCTTTGATTATTTTGAAAAAATATACATGGTATACACATAATATGGCGTATAAAATAATAAAAATTAGTATTAAAATAAATAATTATTCTTAAATAGATTGTTCCCAATTGATTTTACTCACGATTAGATTTAATTAATGCCAATTTAATTTGCAAAATTCCGTTCTAATTTTTAATCTATTGAATTTACCAGTCAGATGCTCGAACTTCAATCCTGTTCGTTCCAATAGCCTCGTGACTTGTTTAGTGGCAACGGTCGCGTCCTCGATAACGAGCCAATGAACATTCTTTACCAACATCAAAGTATGCGACATCCTGGTGAGTTCCGGTATTTGTTCTGGCCGATGATACGTCGGCGTGATTATATACAACGGTTCCGGCATTTTATTCGAATTCATCGACGATTCTTGTCTCTCTTCGTTCAACGATACGTTTCGATCATTCTTCGAATTATTCTCGGATAATTCGAGAATATCCTTGTGCAAATGATTCGTTAACTGCTGCACTAACATCGAGGTTATGTCTGGGCTCAGCCCGTTCATCTCTTGAACTTTATACACAGCGCTTTTGATCTACAAATAGAGAGCAAATGTTTTAGAAAAAGGCAGTCGTGAAGTACGTTTGATGCTTTTGAAGATTTACCATTTCTTCCTTGAATTTAGACGTCCTTACGTAGCGCTCTACGTCTTCCTGGGATAGAACAGGGCTGTCTTCCACGGAACCACCCGTGTTGAAATCGGCGATCTGATCGAATCGTACGCTGGTTGATAAATGGTATTGGTAAAACACCACGAAAAGACCTATTAAGGCTATTACTCCCATTTTCATAGATGACTTCATTATACTTGAACCTGAAAAATAAGAAGATAAAATTAATAACATAATTAATAAACATAAGAAATAGATTTAACACATATTTCTGAAAATCTTATGTTGAATTAGAGAGTTACATAGAAAAAGAAAGAAAAAAAAAAAAAAAGGAATATTATCACCATGATATTTACCTCTAAACTGACAAGTTAATAATTTTGAAATTATTTCAAGCGATATATGTATATATATACATATATATATAGGTATATGTTTAGATAAATAATGAAAATCATCGAAACTATTCTCCCTTTCTTCTTTCTTTCAAAAATTGCTCACTTCGCAAACGAATGAGAGTAAAATTAGGAAATATAACATCCTCGTGCATTAAAGCTTTTATAAGACGGAAACGATAAGATATACGCTTCCGGCGATATGTATATATTTCTTTATGCAGATGAGATTTTGAAAAATTGTCACGTTATTAATTTTAATACATGATATTTGGTGGATTTCCTCTAATGATTATGAAATTGTAACGTTTTATATATTCGAATCAAGAATGCCAAACAATATCATGGTTTCGTACTATCAATATTTTAACAAGTGTTATATTTATTTATATCGCATAATTGAGTTAAAGGAATTAAAAAAAATTGAAGAATCATTTATATAATTTTTTATACATCAGATATTTTTTCCAAATAGATTTTTTTAATAATGATAACATTCCATTATGTTTACAATATTAAATTTTGAGTTCTAATACTGACTTATAAATTTTATAAATTTTCTTCAAATTGATACTGTGCAAGATAATGTTTTTCTAAATTAAAAATCGGAAAAAAGTAATAAAATGTAATGTAGAAAAATTAGTTATCTACGTATTTTCTAGAAAATTGTCAATGTTTTAATTTTTAAAAATGTCGGTTTTTATATATATATATTTTTAATAAATAATAATAAAAATTTTGCGAAATTTATGATTATATTAAGTAAATATTTATTTTTATTATCATTTTATAAATATTTATTGCGATTTTACTTTTTGTGATAGTCTTAATATTATTGTAAAAAATAATTTATATCTCGATGAATAATACCTATCCCATAACACTATAGATAATTTATTTTTTAATTCTGTTCTTATCTAATTTTTTTTATTTGAAAATTAATTTGAATTAATTTCTAATTTATCATTATTTTTTCTTCCAAATAGACTCAATCTCTTACATATATATAATTAAACTATTCCCATACTATTTATAAATATTAGATATCTTAATTATTTTTTTTTTCATTCCTTATCTTAATAATATAATTTTATTATTAATTCTAATTAATAAATTCACAAATATTAAAAAAAATTATTACAGGAAGATATTATAGATCTTCCTTATCAATAATAGAATAAAATGTTTTTTCGACAGCTGCGGATAATATCCAAAGCAAGTGTTCCATTATCTTATATTGCTAAACGATAAGAGAGAACGAGTGTAAAAAAAAAAATTTATCTTTTACACATAAATTTATTAATGATGACGGAAAATTAGACAAATTTATTTGCTCAAAATATCATTGATGATAGAAAGGAAATAAAATACACACAATCGTGATAAACGAAAAAAATTGTGTGTTGATAAAGCGTGGAGGTGAATTCCTTTATATTTGAAGCGTTTATATTTGAAGAAAGAAACATTTGTTAATTACTATTCGATCAAAATCGCTATGATTTTTTAAAACGCGACAAGACAAAAATATTCGGACGAATGAATAAATATTTCTAATAAATGTGTTAAGTTTTTTTTTAGTATTATTTATTTTGTCCAACTGCGAATCAAATTTTTGAAGAAGCACGAAAGCTGACAAAAAAGATCCATTGAACGAAATATCATTGATTTTATATCGTGAATAGCACATATCTGGAAAAGAGAATTAATATAAGAATAAGGTTTAGAATTAACATAAATTTTAAAGAAATAATTAAAATATGTAAGTTAGAGTAGAGATATTATTTCATTTGAATTCTAAATAAATTAAATAAAATAAAGAAAAAAATAATGCGTAAGCTTGTTACTCTTATTCATTGTAATATGATATGACTTTGATGAAAGTTAGCACATTTGTTACATTGCATTTGAAATCGCAAATTTGAGGTAAGAACGAAAAGATCTTCATGCGTAAAATTTTATACATTTTTTTTATAAATTTTATCTATAAAATAAATTACGATTCGTTAAAATTTACGAAAAAAAGAAAATTACTTTATATAAAAGATAAGTTTTGTTTTTCAATTTGCCTTTATGAATATAATCAAATAATTAAAAATAATTATTCTAACCTTCATTAATTCATTGCTGATGTCAATGTAACAGATATACAAAATGAAATATAATTTTAAGTATTGTTTTGTATCAACAATTTTTTTTTATAATAGTTGAAAAATAAAATTATAAATATCTGCAATTATCAAAAAAATAAACAAATGATTACTTTATTCGCATATATCAGTCACAAAAATCTTCATTTACCTATGTTACGTGTTATCAAAACTAATAAAAATTCTGCTTTTATACAATTTTATAAATATGTAAAGCATGATGCGTGAAACTTGTTTTTAATGATGTTTTTAATATCACTTTGAAGGAGTGAAATCAATCCTTAAAGTTTTTTTTTTTAATTTTGTTTAAAACGACATTACAGATAGAAATAAAACTTTAATATATAAAATAATTTATAAAATAATTATTAAATATTAAATAATATATAAAATAATTTATAGATTTTGTAACCTTGTGAAAAATATTTCGAGACAAAATTGTATTCAAAATATGCTTGAAATTTTGAAAATTTTATTCCTTTTAAGAAAGATTTTAGCTGAAAAAAATTTTAATGAAAATTTGTTACACATCGTTATACATAATAAATCATTTTTTTAAATATGCTTAATTACATATACTCTTCAAATAAAATAACAACAGTGGTTCAATAAATTTTCGCGCCAGAATGTAACATGATTGATAACGAAACAGACAAAAATATGTTTGCTTATGTTTTAAATCAAGTATACCTATATTCGTTTTTATCGCGAATCATATCTTTTATATACAAAAAACACTCACTTAATATTTAATTAACAAAGTTAAACTTAATTGAACATATAATTAAAAATAAAAAAATATATATATAATTAAACAAAATTAAACCAAAAATAATTCCGCGAAATATATATATAATGAATATATGAATGTATGATATATGATATAATGAAAAAAAGGGAAAAATGTGAGATATAAAAAAAGGCAATAAAGAAAATAATAATAAAGAATATAAAAATAAAACAGTCAATAATTAAAATGTTAAAACATGTTTCGAAATTGTGAAATTTCAACATGTGCGACATTACATAATTGAATTAGAGGATTGCAAATAGTCTACTAAAGGATCGATTAGACTTAATTTAGCGCCATGACAGACGTACTCGTGGCTGGAAAGTTGGCTAGCGGGACGGCACAGAGACAAGAGATATACTCTACTCGTACGTCTCATCTAATTCAACCTTTGATGATCTCAAACCTTTGGTGGCTTTTAAATTCTGGCGGTACACGTTGATTATGATTCTTGATCATAATCCTTATTTTATATTTCTATATCAATGTTTTGAAATTCGATCTTGACGTATCTTGCTTACTTTTTTCGTGAAGAGATATTAAATGATTTAATTTATAAATATATCCGTTTTGGCCAATGATGAAAATATATATGTTAATTTTATAATTTTTTCAGATAAGAGAATTCTATTATACTATAATATAATCAATCAGATATATATTTCTTTTGTGCTTTTTTTATCAGCTTTTCAATTATAATAATATATACTTGTTATAATTGATGTAGTGTGCAGTATGAACTTCGGTTGCGTATAAAAATAGGTCACATAAAGCTGCAATTCTCTAAACCCTTTGGTAAATTCTTTCAATTTAGTGGCGCCACTTGACACCGGTGAATTTCTGTATTTTTCAATATACTTTTGTACTAACGGAAAAACTTTATCTAGATTCAAAATATATTTTGATTATATTTAATGTTTTCCTTCCTTTTTCAATCGATACGAATTACAAATACGCACGATTAATCTGCTTGAATAATTATCAATTTTTCTTAATTTGCTTATTAATTTTTATATATAAAAATTAAATGGAAAATATAATTCCTATATTATAACCTTCTGCAATCGACTAATTAGACATCATTATTAATCTAAGCAATTCTGAATGTCCCTGTTATTTATCTTAGACAAAAAGTAGATTAAAACTTACCTGATAAACGGTGTTCATACTCCTTTCATGAGTTGTAATGGTTCTCTTTCTTTATGTAATTTGTATAGAAAATAGTTTACCGCACATTTTAAGTGTTCGCGCGTTTTTTTTACAATATAAGAAATAATACCACGGTAGCTATGACACTGTGACGTTTTCGTGATATGATGATGGTAAATCTTCATTAAAATTCGAAATTAGTGATTTTTTACGATCGATAACTATTCTATTGCGATACACTTGTATACCAAACCATAAAGTGTATGATGTACCAGATGTTGTTGCTTCATGATTTTTAACAACTGTTTTGTCCATATTTCAATATAAATTTACGTCTTCAATATATTAATAAAGAGCAAATCCATTTAACAACTGCAACAGATTCCATCGCTGCTAAATGACGTTTCGTCGAATCGTGTTTATTTTCCTTTGCGATGTAGATAATAAATTGACAGACAATCATGAGAATTTTAGAACATATGAATAACCAAGAGATCGCTCCCTGGAATCGATTTTCATGAATTTTCATTGTATTACGATTACGTTCGAAAGACCGGGTGACGGAAGCATATTGCCACTGGCATGAGGATGATCTATATTATAAAACATCACTGATTTTTTCTTTCACTAATCTGCAGCACTTTGATCGTTTGGCAAATGTATTTTTAGCGAGAAGTCTCGAACCGCTTTGAAACGTTGGCCACATGTCGTGCGCAAAATAAACCGATCAGTTTTCAGTTAATGACAAACCGTTTCGATGTTCTTGATAACATTATAGTCTATTTAATTACCTTCCTAATTGCATGTTTATCTATTGTACATTTCAATTGTGTTCTGTCAGCGAAAAGAGGAAACAATACACCTGACGTAAAAATCCGACAAAACGACGATGAAATGATACTCCTCCGTCGGTTAACACTGAACTGTTCCCTCGTTGTATTCCCCTTGTGCGATCCGTCTACGTTCGCATTATATATATAACCCCCACTATTTCGTTTCAGCTGGCGCAGCAGCCGACGCTGTCACTACTTGTATATGTATGTGTATATGTATACGCATATATATATATAATATATAATATATAATATACATTTCTATACTATCATGATACATATGCGCGTTATACTGAATCACGTGGAAGAATGTATTTGGCGCAGAGTAGGTGTTTCTATCGATCTTTCAAACATCTGCGTAGCGATCGTTTCTGATCAAACGATCAAACGATCAATTAGATTTGGATATTAAATACATTATAACTGCGTCATTGATTCAAGAAAGATTCAAAGGAAATATATTTGATTTAAAAATTATAAAATTTTTAATTCAATATAATAATGTACAATGATTAGTTTAAATTACAATGTAAATTTAAAGATATAAAAATTTTATTCGAATAGAATGATACAAACAGAATAAGTGATACATTATATGATTCATTTATTTTATTGAATATCTTCTTGAAGCATAATATCGAATTATATAATTATGGAATTATCGATTTTGCAATCAGATCATCATAAAAAATCAAATATGAATAAATAATTAAAGTAATATTCCAATTAATATAACTAATAATAAATTTATTAATTACAATATTTGAATTTATAAATATCTTTTTTGAAACTTTTTAACAATTTAATATAAAATGTTTAATAACAATTTATTACCAATTATTATTCTTGATTTTAAATCCACATCGACTATAATAAAAAAATAATGTAAAAATAAAATAAAAAAAAAAGAATCTTGCCCAAATGATAAAAAAAAAGTTTAATAGCATCATTGTTAAACATTAAATGTGAAGTTAAGTTACAAAATATTATTTAAATAGAAATAACATACTTTTACATAGTGATTTCAATAAATATTACCGATTCACCATAATGACGATTAATATTGTAAGGATTAAGTCCATACTTGAATTAAACAAAAAAGAATTGATCAACGAATGAAAATCGAATGATAAATCTTTCAAAATATATTAACTCCGATTTTCAAATTTCAATTTTTGATAAATTTATTTAATCAAGAAAACCAATGCAGGATTAAGGGTAGTAGATACGAGGGAAAGTTTAGTTAGTAAATCAATCGGTTTATAAGGTAGTTTTTCAAACTGTTCGTTATTATTCGTATTCAATAATAGAATAAAATCAATGCGAATTGTCTCTTAATTTTTGTTAACTTAATGTCCTCATAACAAGTGGAATCGATCGATAACCATGCTCGACAGACACCATGTGGTTTTCTCTCTTTCTAACCATCATTATTTCAACTATCTCTCGCCTCGTCTTTCAGGGACCGGAGTATTGATCCAACTGAGCAATACTTATACACATAGTGTACGTAACATTGTAAACGACCACGGTTGCCTACGAATCTTGGAAAGGAATTATAAACGACGTTGTCCGAATTTTCTTCTTTTTAATCATAGGTATGTACCATATATTGTTGAGGTTAAGATAAGTATAATGCAGAAATTACATGTGCAATTACTGAATGCGTTGCGTAAAGCGCTTAGGAGAGACGAGAGAGGGAAGGAAGGTCTAGAATAAAGTTGAGCCATGACCTATACAAAAACAGATCATTTTATAATTTCATACAGCAAATTTAAATCTATTTTAATCGATGGGGACTAAGTTAAGAATTTGATAATCGACGATTTAGCATGGAAAATTCTATTAATATATAAAATCAAAATAAGACGGTTTGTTTAATTATTTATATTCGTTTTATGTCACTCTACTCTCACTGAGAATATATTCTTTTATTTTATTATTGTAATTTCGATATTTTATAATTTTTTTTTCTTAAATAAATGAACGTAATTATATTTTAGTTATCTTTTGAGTACGTTGCAATTTATTGATATATAAATATTATTATGTAAATAACATATAATAAATATTTTGAAATGGAAAATATAATTTTATGTTGATTCGAATATAGTCGTTTGAGTCGTTTCATATATCGACTATAAAAATATGAAACAACTGGTTTTAGCAGTTTAAAAGTTTGTTCATATTTTTGAAAATAAATATGAAATTCATTCTACTTTGAGAACTAAATTAAAATATACAATTTTCAAATTGATACAGCGATAAAAGTATTAATATAATTATAATTTTCTCATTTCTAAATCAAAAAATATATTCATATTCAAAAATAAATATATAAAATAAATAATGCAACAATACTCTAAAATAATGGAATGAATATGAATTTTTAATAAAAATATCTTCAGTATCGATTCCTATATTTTTTTTAATGAAAAAAGTAACAATATAAATAATACAAAAACATTAAAAACATTGAAAAATCTTGATTCTATTTATAACAAATCTTTTAATTATCCTTGTATTCATTCAATTTTAGTACAACTGAAATGTTAGCTTATGATCAATAAAAAAAGAGAATTATCTACATTAATTAAATTTGCGCGTCTAAAAAAATATATTTCATACTTTTTTATGAAACTTTAAATTAATTAAAAAAAAGAAATACTTAAATAACAACACGCATTAATATTACAAATATTGCAAATTTTTCTAAAAGTACAAATTCTATTGTATTCATTCATGATATTTCTTTTCAGTCTTTAAATCTTGCACGATGCTGCGAATTTAATACAATTATATTAAAGCTAATATATCGATCCCGTCTATCTATCTACTTTGATATCGATTAATCAAAAATTAATTCGAATTATAATTAGAATTAAAAAATATTTCTTCACATATATAATGTATATATGATCTAATATTTTGTTAGTTTTCAGTAACTAAAATTATTATCGTCAATAATCAATAATTAGAATTATTACAAATTATTAAAAATAATTGTACTTGATCATCTGACGATCAAAATAGCAAGATTTTTAATGAAATTTCCGATATGTTTATCGATTTAAGTTTCATGAATGCATCCCTTTGCTCATCCATGCGATCTGACACAAAGCTTCTATCACAATTCAACGTTAGATCCGCTTCGACGGACATAGCGGTTGAAATAATCGGGACGCCAACACTTGCAGCTTCCTGGTACCAGGAACCAGTCATAATACAATCTTACCTGTAACGAAAATATATAAAAATATAATGGAATTAAAAAACAGTTTTTTCTTACTTTAAAATCCATAAAATCTATTCAAATTGTTCGAATCGAACCTGGAAACAACCCATTTCATCAACACCATCGCAATGATGCTGTGATCCACTATTTCGAGCTTCGTTTTCACCAGCACGCTTTTGTAAATATTGTTGATAATTTTGAAAATCGTGAACAGGTGGTGGTGAACCTGTAATATCTCTTAGACCATTGATTCTAGAGTTTTGGTTTTCTTCCACGAATGTATCGGGATAGAAAATTTCCGCTACTAGTAAGCTAGTCCATCTTGGTGATGATAGACATCCACCATCCAAATAATGACATCTTGATTGCCTATAAAAATGGTTAGATGTTAATAATCATTCGATAATAATAATTAATTATAATATTTCAATCTATATATATATTACATGCATCTGGTTACTTCAATAGTCTGTGTGAAATAACCCTCGTAAGGTATTTGAACTACATAACGCCAAACTCCTTGATAATTCTTGGCGAACACAGGTGTCGCGTATTCCACTTTAGCTGGACAAGGAGTAGGTGGGCCAGTGTACTCTGGTTTCTCTTGTGGCGGTGTTCGTTGACGATACTCGGGAGTAGAAGGCTCGTCACGACGCTCAGCTGCTGATGTAGCCAATGGCTCACCTTGTATAGCCTTGTACAGCATACAAACTCTTCAATATAAACAGGAGATTATAATTGTAGATACGAATTTAAATTAATTAGTTAGTTGATTTGATGATTGTTAATATTTGATAACTTACACTCCTCCACCGTTCTCGCAAAATTTACGACCATTTCTGAGAGTGTCTAACGCGCTTTCTGAATCGGATGATCGTTTACTTCTGCTTCGTTTCTCATCGGTGTCTACACTAATATTTGAAAAAAAAAATATATTTTATATACATTTTATAATATTAAAAATACATTATATAATAATAAATTTTATAAAATAATATAACGAGAAATTAAAATTTTTACATGTTTACTAACGAGTTTTGGAAGTACGAATGAACTGTGGCCACCTTCGGTAATGAATCATCAGCCTTGAGTATGGGCAACGCTTTGCTCAAAAATTTCAGCGTGTGATTTTTCAATAATGCACTATAAGAAAAAAAAAATGTAATAAATGTAAAAAAAAAAGATATAATATAGAGAAATTAAGATTTGTTACGAAAATTTTATATTTTACACTTACAAAGGATATGACGAACCATTGAAATATTGATTCATAGGATTCCGTGGAATATAACCCTTGTTAAGATCTCCACAAATATTGTGAATAGAAACGAAACCTTTTCCCTGTTTACCGGTATCTAAAATTTTTAATCGTTAATTTATTAATACATATACAATTTATATAAAGAAACAATAGAAAAAAATTATTTTTTAATTATTTCTTCCGTAATATTAACGTTACTAAAATAGCACATGTACCATAGCACTCTTTATCGCTGTCTATATAAGGTGGTGGCCTCACTTTAGGCGGTTCTGCATTTGGTGATTTAACAAAAGCGTAATATCCTTCTGGTGGTTCATTAGATTCCGTTGTCGAATCGACGTCATTTGATTTCGTTTGTTTCGTTTCCGGATGTTCATTTGCATGACACGTAAGGCACAAAAGTATCAGCTATAAATTTGATATTTATTATGTCATATTATTCTTTTATAATCGTACTTTACACTAATCGTTTATTACATCGTTCAATCGTAACACTTTTTTTTTCTCTCATTCATTATAAAATCATGAAAATCAGATGAGGCATAGTTAACCTTAACCTTATTACAGCGGCCGAATTAAAATCTTAACCTAAAAC